AAATTGTTTGCACACCGCAGCCGTAAAAATATGCAACAACATAAAAAGCAGTTTATAGTATATTAAAAAAATAAACACAAATGCACACACACACGCACACAGTCAAACCCCACTCGCAGGTGCAGCTGTAAATATTAAAATGCATACACAAATATTTCGCAAGCAGACATGCGAAATATGCATGTCGGTTACTTAAATGCGATATGCGAATATTTGAATTAATTTTACGTCGAAGAAAAAAATCAAAAGGAATCCATGACAACCGCAATTTGTAAATACTCTGAACGGATTAACAGCCAAATGCAACTCGGGCATTAATAAATAGATTTTTTATATTAATTGGAGTTTTTAAGCATTTCGCTCTTCTTGTCTGGTGTGAAAATGTTCACAAAAGAAGGGAACAGCTGCGTGGAGTCTTGGAAACTCGTGGGTAGTTATGGTTGGTATGGAAACGTACTTCTATGGACAGCTCATATTCTGAAAGGGACTACTTTATCGTCGAGTAAGGCTATATAGATAGATAGCTCTTTATAGGCTATCCCTTGCCTTAATAATTTGCAGGTTCTCTTCTTTAACATGTCTCATAGTCTTATAGCATATCTATATATCTAATATACTCGACTTGGTACATATGTACATCCATCTACAATTTCCTTTAGCTCTGAAGAACTTGCATGCTCAGACATGTCCAAGCTGCAGCTTAGACACTTTCTTACCTTCAACTGCTTCATTTGCATAGCCAAATCGAGTATCTTCTTGGTGCCCAGGACATTAATGTCAATAGCATCGCTTAGTTTCTCATTGAATTTCACCGAGGCGACAACATTGAAGACAATCTGAGAAGAAGAGTACAAAAACAAAAGAAACACAAGTAATGCATATTAAAATTGAGAAATGCCAGCAATAGCAACAAGAGCCGAACACAACTAAACAACTGGGAGCACATGCAATATGCACGAGAGTTGCATGCAAAACAGAAGCGCTTTGCATGCAGTTGCTTTTTTTGGGCTCACACCGTTCGCTGCATTCGCTGATAACCTCAAAGTCAGCACGGACACAGGACACAGGACACGGGACATGGGACACGGGACAACTGCTGCATTGAACATCGACAACAAAGCAATTTTAGTTTTAAAACAGAGGCAGGACTAAACACTGCGAGTCCTGCCGACTGCACCGCATGTGTGTGTGAGTGACTTGTATGCAAAATGTTTTGCAAGCGGCAAGAAAAAAGAATGAAACGAAATAGAGCCAAAAAGGAAAATAAAATAAATAGAAACGCCGAACGGATGCGACTGGCAGGACAATGGCTCGCGCACGCCAAACACTTGAAGCATGCACTGGAATTTTCATTTATTTATATATTGTTTTTTATAACCGGCAGCAGCAGCAGCAGCAGCACTACTAACAGCAGCCGCAGGACTAGCAAAACCATCAGGCACACACATTTTCATAGGACGACGTGCCGAGTTTCAATTTTTGTTGAAAAGTAGAAAATATATATATATATATATGTATATCTGTCTCTCTCTGTATAAATATATACATATATTCGTGCCTTGTCTTCGCCGAGTGTGCGGAGAAAAATCATAAAAAGGAAATAAACTGACTGCATGCTGTTGTCGTAAACATGGCGCCTGCCTTTGGCAGGCAGTGTAACGTAACGTAATGCACAAACAGACAGACAGACAGACGGACGAACAGGCAGATAGATAGTCAAGCAGACAGTTGGACAGGTGGACAGATATCCAAACAGATAGGCAAACATACACACCCACAAACACACACATTCGCACACACACTGGCACACAAAAGTTTTCACACAAAAGTCTATTGATTGAATTGCCAACAGAAACAGGCAACAAAGCACTCGAACCTGCAATCGGAATGGCAACGGCGGCAATACTCACCTGGACCTCAGACGAGAGCATTGCACGGTCGGCGGCATCAATGTCCAGGTCGATGGCACCGTAATCAGCGCGTATCGGATGCACCTTCTCCAACAGCTCCGGCCGCTCAGCGCGCATAATATTGAATATCTGCAATAGCAACGAACAGCAGCAGCAGGAGCAGCAACAGCAGCAGCAGCAGGAGCAGGTTTATTGAGTTTGCATTGTTCGGGGATGGCAAAAGGGAGGCGTGCAGCTTTGCGGCAGCTCATTTCCCCCAGTTTTGCTATTGACTTACCGACTCATTGAAGAATCCCTGCAAGCGCTCCTGCACGCTCATGTTGTCCTTGCTGCGTATCAGCATGTAAATTTTACGCAAACCAAAGGCGCGCAACAATTTCTCGGTTAGCACTTTGCCCACAAAGCCCGTGCCGCCCGTAATGAGCACCGTGGCATCTCTATAGAAGTCGGTAACTGGTGTTGCACTGGGCGTACCCATCAGACCCTCATCAATGCCCCCAGCAGCAGCAGCAGCAGCAGCAGCATCCACATCAATGTTTGCCGTGCCACTGGCAGGGCCGGTGCCGGTGCCGGTACTCATTGTTGTGAATGCCTCGCAGAACTCGGTGTTGCTGCCACTGCTGCGGCGCGAGGAGCTAGTCGAAGAGAAGGCCTTGCGAGGCACTGCAATTGGCATAGACACCTCATACATGTGATTCATCTGATGGAATTAGTTTGCTTAGCACTTCAGCTACCTGGTCTACGCACCTTTATTCACATTTGATTCACGCATTTTCCTTGCCACTCGACACAGAACTGAACCACTCCGCACGAGGTCTGGAAACACTTTGAAAAGTTCACTTTCGTTTTCTAATTGTTCAAAATATGATATAT